TTAACCAAAGCCCTCCACCGGACCCTGTCCTGGGCCAACAAAATCCAGTCTCCTTTAACTCCTATCTCCCATAGATCCCGCCTGACATTATCCTCCCATCTACGTCTAGGTCTCGACAGCTGTCTCTTCCCCTCAGGCTTCCCAACCAATACCTGGTGCACACCTCTTGCCTTATCCATGCTTGCTACATTTACCGCCCATCTCATTCTTCTTGACTTAATCACCGTGACAATACTGGGGGGGGAGGATAAATTTTTAAGTTCATCATTATGTAGTTTTCTCCAGATCCCATCGTTTTCTCTCCTGGGCCCAAATATCCTCCTCAACACCCTATTCTCAAACACCTGCAATCTGTGATCCACCCTCAGAGTGGAGACCATGTTTTGCACCCATTAAACTAAAATAATAAAATCTTTTGCCATTTGGAACGAGTCTGTTGGTTTTCAGAGATATTTCTCCATACAGGTCATTTTATTTTCAGGAAATAATGGCTTCCAAATCAGCTCAGGAGGGCCATCTGTCAAGCCAAGAGGAAGAAAATTTGATCAATGATACTGTGCGATATATCCTGTCTCACGATAATACCAAGTATGCTATCAAGCGACAGGACATTGTAAAAGATGTTCTCAAAACTTATGGAGGGAGCTCTAAATATATCATTGATGGAGCTACACGAGTGCTCAAGGAGGTAAAGTGTATTTTATTTATTTCAGTGAGTGAATTATATTGAAAACAGCATTTTTGAAATAGTTCAGTTAGTGATTGACTATAAATAGCTGGATAGAACTTGCATGTGCTGACATTTAAGTCATGAAATGAGATGTTTCTTAAGCAAAATTCAGTGGCCATTTCTCTGCCAAGTGTCCTCTGATTCACTAATAGATGGCTCTAGCAGTCAAATTATGATTGAGTAGAAATTTTGCAGAGGCAGTGGGCTGGTCACTCAGTACTCAGAAATGCACTCTTCAAAGACTAGGAAAGCCTCCGAAAAGGAGGTGGTGAAGACCCACAACTAGGTTGTATGCCAAGAAAGAAGAAGGAGAAGTAATATTATCAGTTAAATCTGGCTGTCAGCCCCATTAAGTTAGTGTTTTAGTACTCCATCCCCATATCGAAGTCGCAGAGGCCTTCAGCCGAAGCGGCCCCACAGTCTCTGGTTTCAAACCCCAGAGAATCAACCAACCAAATTCTTTTGGGCAAGTTGCCTGACGGAATAAACCTCCTATCACATCATCGGCAGCAGATCCTAGTTTGAATGGTCGATGCTCCCGCCACGTCAGAACCCTGTTAGCTTAAGCAATTCCCATTTTAGTTATTAGGTTCTGTGTACCATTTGCAGCAATGCGTTTCGTACGCAGGAATGGTGTTACCTAGCTTGTTGGTTGGTTGTTTGGTTCTAATCCCATGGTGGTTTTATATTTCATCAAATACAGAGAAGAGGCAGTTATGTGAAAAGAGGCTGTGTTCTCCATAGGTTAGACAGTCTTCTTGTCAGGAAATTCCCCATAATTTTGGAATCTAGGTGTTTACTATCTTCACAAGAGCCTGTCACCTGTCCTTGTTCAAATTTTACAGATTTTTGGGATGAAGTTGGTCGCAGTTGAACAGAACTCAAATGTGAAACACTATATGCTTATAAACAATGAAAAGTTTTCAACAGATGCACGTTATATGAAATGGCCAAAGGAAGTGGAGTCTCAACAAGTGCTCCTCATGCTGACTCTATCATTAATCTTCATGAAAGGTGGTGTGGAGAGTGAAGGTATAAGAATTCATAAAGAATGTAAATAGACCTTAATATACACAGACAAAGCAGCAAATGTTAATTTTCTTATCCCATAGATCAAGCAAAACCTCCAAAGAGAGGGGAAAAGCAGACCCTGCCAAAGCTGGACAAATACTAAAGAGGAAAAAAGTTGTCAGTGGAACCACGGTTCCGGAGAATTTGACGTAAATACGTCTATACGGAAAGGAAGTTTATATATTGGCTTTATTCTAAATATTTCCTTTATACATGCCTTACAATTGAGTAAAGTTTGATTAAGACATTGCTTATTCAACTTGAATTAGTTACGCTTAAGATGGGTCTGTGTAGCTGAATGTAATGTAAGGTAATGTAATGAAATGTTTTATAGGTAACGACAATGCCGAGTAAACAGATGACGTTTCCTAGGTAACATAACAATGCAGTTTCACTTTTTCGTGTAACGTATCCTAGGTAACAATAATATTGACTAAACAGGTGACGTTTGCAAGATAACAATAATGCCGAGTAAACAATTGACGTTTCCAAGGTAACATAACAATGCAGTTACACTTTTTCTGGCAAACAGCATATCATTCACTCTGATAATTACGGTTATGAAGATGTGAGGGCGATATGACATACACTAGTGGTCCCCAACGCGGTGCCCGCGGGCGTCCGCGTTGATACGGAAAGAAGTTTTACTGAATAATGAAGGCCGTTCAACCATTAACATTATTAAATCAAAGCACAGATCTCGACTTACTGACGCCCATCTTGATGATTGTTTGCGAGCAGCAACATCATCCTACACTCCCAAATTTGAAAAAATGGCCGATGAAATGCAGCGCCAAACATCACACTAACTTCCCACTTGAGTAATAATAATTGTACTTTTAGACAGTACGTATTTTTGATTGCACAGTTTCTTGTATCATTTAACGTCGTGTTGTTTTGTGTATTATTTGGCGTCCATATCTTATTTGTCCAGAGAAAAGAAAATTTGGCTTTGTTAATTAGTTGGTGCCCGCCACGATCTCATAAACAGTCAAATGTTCCCATAGGCACAAAGAGGTTGGGGACCACTCACTTATGGTCTAAGTGGAAGAAATGTCTCGGTAAGCGCAAGATCTTGATTGAAAGGCCGGACATAATAATCAGGCGAGGGAGGTATTTAGTGAATACTACAACGCTTCGCAATGAAGGAAGACAAATATTCTACCTAGATGAAGGCGGGGTAGATAGCAATATGGTGCGTGTAACTGCAAGGCTGTCGGTGTGCTTAAAACCCGCGCTGAACGAGTGTGCTCCACACTTTCTAGCTCAGATGGATGTGCGTGGTTAACTCGCTGCCGGGAGCTTCGTACTCCAGTAAAAGAATCTCTTTTAACTTAACAACTGGAATGCAGAATGACAAATGCATGGATGATGTAGCTAAGAGAGAAATCTCTGTCCATTACGCATGTGCAGTTAGGTCACTGAATGAACTGTCCTTGTACACTGCGAG